CACCCACCCTCTCCCCCCCCCCCCCACACACACACACACTTGTCTTTCTTTTTCTGCCTGGCTTCCTAGAAGTCATCCCTAGGGTCAGTATAACTTAGTGTTCTGCCAGTAATCTGTCATAGATAGTGTTTAAGTTCCTTAGACCACTGAAACATTTGCCCTTTGCAAAAAGATCTGTATGTGACTTGGAGAATGCTTTCAAGTCTGTCTCATGTTAAGCCAGGGAGTTCTCAAGTAGTTCCCATGGTTCCTCTTGAGCCGGTAAAACTTAGCACCCGCGCATAGCCTTCTTGCCCCCTGGGATGAGTGTGATCCTAACAGGGCCATTTTGATTGTGTCATTTTTCTGGTTTTCTCTGCTAAACTCTCTGGTCTATTATTTCTTTTATTGCTACTGGTTTCATGGAGCTACTGGCCTCCTTTCAACTGCTGGCTACTAAGAGAGACAAGACTTACATGTAAACTCAGTGACCTGAACTGGTAAGTAATACTCTAAGTAATACATTATTTTCTATTCTTTAATCACTCAAAGGAATATGGTGTACTTCTGAGTGTTGAAGAGGTATTAATTGACTTGTGGCTGAGAAATAAACCAAGATCTGTCCGAACTGAACCAAAAAGTGTTCCAACAACCAGATGAAGGACTCAGTCTCTTTTCCTCGAGGTAAAATATTTTTGAGATAGTTTTTAGTCTGTGGTATCATTTTGAAGACTTGGGGGACAGACTGAGAAGGTGTGCAGGTATATGAGTGTGTACTTTTAGAAGTACTTTCAAGACACTTGGCTCCCACTCTAATTGTTAAAGCCATCATAGTCACTTAAGAAAGAGGCACCTTTGGGAGCATTTACAGCTGCCTTGTTACTTTGGAACTCAATGTTAGTAGCTGTTGGATCAGTCCTTGTCTCTCTTTTCAACCTCTTTAGAGAAGGACCTTCTCATGAAAGGGATCCACAATAGACTACGTGATTACTCTTGCTAATTTTTGTGGCAGGAGTAAGTTTTATTTTATTATTTTTCTAAGTTTATTTATTTAATGACAGAAAGAAACAGAGAGAGAGAGAAACCGAAAGACAGCACCCCCAACGGATCTTGATCCTGCCATCTACCCCCATTCTCAGCCAGCTCCAGATCGTGGGCATACCTATCCCTGACATACTCACAGAGGTCCCTGTGCACATCTGGACCTCTCCCATGTGGGCTGGCTTTGAAGAGTGTCATCTTTCACCACTGCATCATGGTTTCCTACTCCCCCTCAATGTATGTTTTATGTGTATCATATTTATCACTTAATATTTGAGAAACACTGTGATGCCACCTACACCTGTTGGTATAAAGAAATACCCCTTTCTAACATAGATTCACTTCTCTATGTGATATATTATCATATGTCTAGGGAGAATATATAGCAGAAATGGGCCTTGACCTGGGAAATTGCATTGGCCTAATTGGGAACTGGGAAACTATGAATATAAGAAACCTACTGCTACAGGATGACAAGAAGTATTTTTCTTCCTCTCTTCAGATCATGATGACCTTACAGTGTTACAACTGAGGCACTTCAGTATTCTGCCCACATTTGCTTCCATTGGTAACAGTGACTCTGGCACTGGGCCAGTAGGAAATTTCAGCCTCTCTCCATTGCCTTGGTGTTGGGCAAAAGTAGACCTGAGTTTCAGTGGCACAAGATATTTCTGGTCATGGGCAGTAGTGTCTCCATTGTTTTAAATGGCAACTCAACTTTTACCTCTTGATTCACTCTAAGGAACCCACCTACTCGTAGTTGCAAAAGGATGATGTGCTAGTGCATTTTCCCAGAGAACAGAAATCTTGCCAGTATAACACCGGGTCACCGCGAAAGGTGAAATAAAAGGCCAATGTAGTTTGTCATCCCTGGCTCCAGGTATGGAGGAACAGAGTTGCTAAGTATGGTGACTCTGATGACTTTAGAGGTATCCAAAGCCATTTGTGAGAAGAGGTAAATTGAAGTGACGGTGCCACACTGCAGGACCGAAGAGCAGGGAGTTGTATGGAACTCCCTGCACAGGGACCTCTGTGAGTATGTCAGGCATAGGTATGCCCACAATCCGGAAGTGGCTGAGAATGGGGGTAGATCTCTGCAACAAGATCCTTTTGGGGGTGCTGTCTTTTGGTCTCTCTCTCTGTTTCTTTCTGTCATTAAATAAATAACAGGACTAGATAACATGATGCCTACAAATATTAATGTTCAGTGCATATCTGTTGAATGTAGAGTGATTGCTAAATATTGAGCATGATGGGCATTGTACTTTCTGTCCTGGAGAGCTTAGAGTAATGAGACCAATGGCAAGATGCTACAGTTTGAATGTGTCCCCCGAAATTCATATATTGAATTCCGGTGAGCCATTGTGAGTGTTGACAGAATAGAGACTTAATCCGATTATGGTGTTGAACAGTAAGGTCTTTGGGAAGTGACTAGGCACCAGGCAGGGGCCCCCATGATTGAGTCCTGGTGGGTTTATAAAAGGAGAGGGAATGAGACCAGAAGGAGACATGTACTTCTACCTCCTCCCATGCTGGGAAGCAGCCAGGAGACCATCACCAGATGCCAGCACCATGCTCTTGGACTTCTCAGCCTTCAAAGCAGGGCCCTAAACAAACCTCTGTTCTCTTCAATTACCCAGACTCAGATATGTCTGTTACTAACAGTAGAAGAGCCTGGACCACAAGGAAAACGTGCTCCATGCCAGTCCCTGTTCAGGTAAGGCAGGCAGAATAACTTGGGAGTGCATTTATTCTGCTCATGAAGTATCAGTGATGCTGCTGTTGATAGTTTTTGTTGCTCATGCCTCTTCATTGTTTCCCCTCTGATGTTATAGTCTTTGCATGCATGCATAAGAAGTCAGAAAAAGTGCTATTATCTGGTCTTTTGTCTTTGTACACTCATTTTTATAGGATTCAATGACATTTTCAATGGAAAGGAAATGAAATTGTATATTTCCCATTTGAACCATTCAGAGGAAAAAAAGACACATGACATATTAGCCAACATTTAATAAATTTAATAAATTAATAGGAAGTATCACAAAAACTAAGAGTGGATAACATACAGGAATCGGGAATAAGACAACACTTTGCAACCGTTCACAAAAAGTACCATTTGACAAAGGAGAAGAATTACAGGAAATAATATAAGGCAGTCTGTCGCACGTGTCTTAAACAGATATACATATCTAATAGTACATCAAAATGATCTGTTTGACAGTAAATTCACCATGTTTACATTTATCACATGGACTTTTTTTAAAACATTTATAAAAGTTTGTAGATTTAACATTGAACTGTAAGATTTATATCCAAATGAGTATATTTGTTTCATACCAAACTGCACAGAACTTACGAATAGCACACGGTTTGAGGATAATTGCTGTGTTGGGTACTAGTAAGTACTACTACTGGATGACATAAGAATTATTAACAAATGTGCTATAAGCTATTGTCATTCAACTTATTGCTAGTGCTTTTGAAAATCCGTGGTTTATGTTTGATTTCTTTGTAAAACATGTGCTATGAGCTTGCCCTGATAGTTAAGAAAAGAAATCAGATGTTTCCAATTTTCTCTAATACTCACAATACTTCAGATCTGAACGTATGGTCTTTGTAAGGACTGCTGAAGGATTTTCTTCAGTCTTTTATATCAGCTCCTTTGCCCTACATTGATACAAATCGATGGATTCATGCAACATACATGGCATACATGCAGGGCACCATCCCTATGCATAGCACTCATGCTCAACGCATGCTGTGTTTCTTCAGACATTGTCATTTCAGCAATTAGATCATCTCATTCGATTTCAAAGAGTTGTTTTAGCATGCAGTTCGACAGACCTAACAGGCAGGTAGACTTTACTTTCATGTTATATTTGGGCATGCTCAAGCAATTGCCTGACATTCGGCAGTGTTGCAGATCAGACAGACTGTATGAGTTTTCTCAAATACAGTACCTTTCCCACTGCCCCGTGGCAGACTGGTGGATTTAGCTATGCTGTGTGTTGAGGACACAGACCAGGGGTTTTAAAAATTCAGATTCTGCATTCACCCATTTCAAGATACCAAGAGGTACACTCACTGGCATGTGAGTAACTGTCAGGCAGAAGAAATAGCATCATGAATTCTTCGGAAATTTATCCACAGTTGTGCGAAATGAACACACATGGAGAAACGGTTACTGAGAACACTTGGATACTCTGCACACAGCATAGACTTCATGGTCTGGCTTTAGCAGTGCTTGGCAATCTTTCGCGGTTTACTTGGACTATTAAAATGGTACTGAATTCTTAGAGAGTAGCAGGCCCACGAATGAAACGATGGCCAACACTTAGTGTAACACAACACTATATTTGAACAAAGATTTAAACTTCTGGTACGTAACTGCAGTACAATGGAGAGCTCACCACTTTCACAAATTAGCTGCAGCCTTTTCCTGCACTAGAGAGTTTGGAAGGATCTGAAAATGAGATAAATTTTGTTTAAAATCCAAATGGAAACTCTGTATTTCTGTTTACTCCCAGAGTTCAGTAAAAGCGTCTTTTTGATTACTTTTTTTCACATTCTAAGGGCCTAATTCTGTAGTCCTTAATCAAGCAAAACTTCCACGCTTTTTATCATCTATGCTTCCAACACAAGTTTTACTCCAAAATGGACTGCTAAATTAGGTCCTATAGATAGAGGTACCATAATTAAGAAAATATTTGAATAAGGCTCAAAATGCTAATTTCACTTTGTGTGTAGCACATGGATTTCCAGGATCCTGAGATCAAAACCCAATTGAGGTTGAATCCTGGATTGGGAACTAACTCTGGGATCTCGTTTCCCAGTTTCATCATGGAATTAGGTATTTACTAAGGACCAGAATGAAAACACTAATTCCAGTTTGCTTGTCATAATAATCAGAATTTAACATTGTCCTTGAGAAGTGAAAAGCTATTTGGTGTATATCTCTCTTATCATCCTTCCACTTCTGTAGTCCTGGTTAACCAGCTGCTATGTTAAAATACCACTATGTTTGGGGACAGACATTGCAGTAAAATACCAACACAACAGTCCGACAATGTCAAATTTTGCCCCTATGTGTAGCAACAAGGCTAAGTTCTGCCTTTGACTCACCAACAGATTTATCAGAAGGCAGAACCTATCTTACCGTGTTTATGTGTATAGATGAGCAGAGCAAGAATTTAAAGTGTATATTTACTGTTAACCCGGAAAAAGATTGCACTGAATTTGTTCATTTTGGTGTGGTTGAAATAGGACCACTGTCATGTGCATCATTCTGGTCTCCCGCAAATGCCACCTGAGAGAGGAACGTTAACATTTCCATATGCACAAAAGAAAGAGGGAAAGGAAAGAAGGAAGGAAAAGAAAAAAAAATAAACATTTTATTCATTAAAGAATCAAAATAAGTTAGTCTCCATCTACTATAAACAGTAAATATAGAACCCTAAACCTCACTATTGTATGCATGATTGTAAAGTACAGGGTTGCAAAGCTAGTTATAAAAACACTTTGTTCGGACAGCAATATTTACAGTAGTTATGACCGACAGAAAAAAAATGAAAGAAAAGGTTCCTACATGTGTAGCTTTCCTGTAGGAAAAGGCTGTGCTGCACTTGCTCACACACTACTAATCCTTTCGCTAACCACATTGGAAGGATTTACAGGCAGCTCCAAATTCTCAACTTGCATCTCTATCCCGGGCTCATTGTCATTTGCTTGCTTAATCACCGGTTCATTGGTGTGTCGATAAATGTGAACATTAAGCTCCCTCCCAGACAAAGCAGTGGCGGCCACTCGTGGAATTTGTCTAACAGGAGGCTTTTTGTCTGCCTTGTAATTGCAGCGCAAATAGTTGGAGAAAGCCCTTCGGTAAATTTTGTTGAAGAGGGTGTACACCAGAGGATTAATTCCTGAACAAACATAGCCAATCCAAACAAACACATTCAGAAGCTTTTCCATGAGCTTTTGGTTACAGGACTTCCCACAAAGAACCGACAGAATATTGGTAATGAAAAACGGGCACCACATGACCAGAAACACAAAGAAAACGATGCCAAGGACTTTCGAAGCTTTCCTTTCATTGTTGATAGCCTGCATGGTGCCCCTGGGACGTCTGTCTTTTTTCTTTCTTCGGCGGGTGTTCAACTCTTGGTTGGGATTGGCGGAGTTCTCTTCCTCGGCAGTATTCCTCTTGCAACACTTCAGGAAATTGAGGCTGACTCCAGGCGGTTCCTCGGTATGGCCGTGCAGTAACATCTGAGCTTGTCTACGAAGAACGTGGATCGTCAGGCAGTAGGTGATCACCATGATCGTCAGGGGTATGAAGAACGCTACGAAGGACCCAATAAGAACGAAATTTGGGTCGTTCAGGACACACGTGGTGTTGTTGACGAACACTTTGTCTTCATCCCTCAGTCCGATCACGGGGATGGGAACCGATACACCTAAAGGAATAAAAAAGAAGGGAGGGCATTGTTACAGAACTTTGAAGGATTAAACAGGTTTGTACAATGGCATACGTTTGTTTGTATTGTACAGAAGGAAATTTAGACCTGATGTTTGTTGAAAGCTATTCATGGCATAATTGATAGTCACATGAATTGTAGCAGTATGACATCAAAAAACGATGGCACTTTTTTTATGTTAGGAATGCCTTCACCCCTCAATTTCTGTAGAAGGCATGTAATTAGCATTATTGAGATAAAATCTTAGAGATAGGGTTGTTTTGAAGCATAGATTGTGTTTATCCTGTTTATTTCCAGTTCCTAGAACTGTCCTGGCTCATAGAAGACATTCAACAAATATTTATTAAATCAATGAATAAATTCATATCTTTACCCAATGATATTTTTAAAAGTCAGTTATTCATGTTTTTTATCATATCAACTTGCAAATTCAATAATAGTAATAATAGCTTTTTAAGGTTGACTCAGTTAGGTTTGACTACTATGTAGAAATAGTTTATGGGGCCAGCATGGTGTGGTGGTTAATGTGCTGGACTCCCACATAGTCATCTGCAGTTTGAGTCCTGGACCCAGTGACTTGAAACTCATACCGGGTGCATGGTTCATGCATGCCCATAATCCTGAGAGGAGAATAGAGGGGAAGGGAGTGTGGTGTGGTCATCCAACTTGGGGGGTGATTTCTCACTTTCTGTCTGTCTGTCTGTCCATCTCTTTGGTGAGTGCATGTGCTCTACAATAAAAGTCTCTCTCTCTCTCAAAAAAAAAAAAAAAGAAAGACATTGTTTATAAAAAGAAACTGGAAGGATTTTCTTTTTTAGCAAGGGTTTTGGTTTGGTTTGTTTTTCTTTTGTCTCTGAGCATAAGCAGCAAAATCAAGACATAGAGTGGAATGTAGAATTGGAAGACATGTAGTCCTCCCATTTAAAAATGTAATCTAGAGAATTTTTAAGAATACAGAGACATTTTACTCTAGGAAAGCACTTCCTTCAATAAATAGACTCAGGCAGAAAAATGTCAATGAGGAGGTGGGAACAGAAAGTGATCTTGTACCCCTGAGTATAAGTAAGAAACCTTCTGGAAACTTTTAGAAATAACTGTGTAGAGCTTGAAAAGACCCTCCAAGAGAGATAACTTGGGAAGTAAAATCCAAATTTTAATGTTAATTTATCCTCTCTTGTGTGCACAGGAAGTTGAAGCCTGGGAAACTTGTGATGACACTTGATGGATTCTATCGGAGATTATTAAGAATCCTGCACTAATGAGTATCTACATTATGAACTGTGAGAGGAGATAGAAGTGTGCTCTCAGAGATCATGGCTGACTTTAGTGAACACACAAGGAACTGTGATGAACCTGAAACTGAAGGTCCTTATGAACTGCTTTAACACCCTTAATCAGGTATAGAGAGATTGGCTGAATGATCAAGCGTGGAACGGTTTCTTTGCCAGAGTTTGCTGAGAATGTTGATTGATGTGTAATATCTGGGAAGATAACAGGACAAGAAAATGTTTAGAAAGTGCTCTGTAAGTCTTCTCCTGAGACGCTGAATTTCTCAAATGACTGGCCTTTTTCTAGAGAAAGAGAGCAAATGGCAAGAGTCCTTTGAGTAGTGGCCCATGCCTACTTAAAACTCTGAACTTAAGGCATGCCATTCAAGAAAGTAGGGATGGCTGTGAAACCTAAGAGACACTGCAAACAGAAAGTCTCCTCAGGCAATGTGTTACTGGATCCTAGTGAACAGACCTTTGAACCCTGCATAGGAAGAGTGGCATGTGTCAGAAGTGCTGTGACCTGCACAGTTGAATGTGTGCTCTGAGTAGGCGTGGCTGTGGATTAGAGAATAAACATAAAAAGAAACACACAAAGACACACAAGTAGAGAAAAATGGAGGCAGCCACAGCTCTGAGCCATTCCCAGGATTATTCTTTTAAAGGACAAAAAAAGGAGGAAGGGGAAGTGGAATGCAAAGGCAGTTGCTTTCAGATGTTAATCAGCTGAAGATGTGAAGACCTTTGGCTCCATGTAGTTCCATGTAAGTTCTATTTTCTGAGATCCTTTCTGATTAACAGATATGGCTTCTTTTAGCTGATACCCCTTTGCAGTTTTGACACGGAGACAGCTTGCATATTCATTTGTTAATGGTGTTCCTTTAGCCTTGCAAATGGCAGCCCATAGAACTGCGTTTCTGCATGTGTTTAAAGGTCACCATTGTGTTGCCCAGATTGTCAGCCTTCTACACAGAAGGAAAGAAAGAAGATAATTTTTCATCAAGTTCGATAATGCGCTTGGGGGGAATTTCAACAGCCATTTGAGAGTATAGAATGCAGCAGAACCATACATGGGCTACATTTCTTAAGAGTTATAAAAAGGCAGGTAAGAAAGTTGCCAGTTTGTATTGCTAGAACATACATTCAAAAAGTCATCACTATGAGGTAATCTCCGGAAAGAGTATACATGACACTTGCCCAAAAGAAATCAGTATTGGTTTATCCTTAATGAAATATTTTAGTGGAAGGGTTAGGCTCCAGGAACATTTCAGGAGTTAAGGAATCTAATATGAAATTAAGAAAATAGGGAAGAGTATCTTCAAAAAATTACTTAAAAGAGAAAAAGAAGATGAACCCACAAATTAAGAGAGACTTAAGAGACCAGCAGGTGGTGTGGTGGTTAAGGCACTGACTCTCACATGGTGATCTGCAGTTCGAGTTACCAGACCTGGTGGCTTAATTTTTTAATTTTTCTGTCTCTCTCTGGTGAGAGTGTGTGCCCTGTAGCAAATTTAAAAATAATAATAATGATAAATAAAATTAAATAAATAATTCTTTTAAAGGAGAGAGACTTAAAAGATTTATCATGTAATTATAATATGTGGATCTTCTTGGGATTTTTTGAAAAAAAATTTCTATAGGGCATGTTTACTTACTGGAGAGAGACAGAGAGAGAGAGAAGAAAAATGAGAAAGCATGCCACCATCCCAGCAGGGGATAGCTATTTTGCAATCTTTGGTCTGCCAATCCTTTCTCAGCATTTTGGGCATGCATGGACATGTGCATAGCAAGTTTTATCATACCACTGAATCCAGGACTTGAACTGCTCAGTTGGCCATGTAGGATCTGCCACCTTAACCACCATTCTACAGGCTGCCACCACCTTCTTAGGATTTGGATACAAACAGATGTTTTAAAATATCTATAACACAATTGGAAAATTGAACAATGACTAATTTTTTAACGATATTCTGCAATTATTGCTCATAAACTCTTCAGTAAGATGTTGATAGTGTGATTATGTAGAAAAATAGTCCTTATGCTTTCAGATATATCTACCAAAATATTTCTGGATGAAATATTATGACATTTAGAGTTTATTTCAAAATAATATGGAAGAGAGAAGTAGATGGGAGCATGGATGAAACAAGATAGGCCAAACCTTGATAAGTCAATCTTGGATTGAATAATGAGTACCTGGGTATTTATTATGTAATTCTTTTGGGTTGTCAGAAAAGTCATGATGTATTTTTGCATAGAAAAAGAAGTCATGACTTTTCTGACGGCCCAATACTTTTATAATCTTTGAAAGTTAAAGTCTCTATTAGAAAAAGTTTAATCTTTTTTTTTAAATTGTAAAAAGAAAAGGAAGACATAGAGGCCCTTTCAGAGTCAATGACATCACTGTTAGACCTCAGATCAAAAAAGGCTCCAAGACTTGGTGACCATTGCTAACCTCAGAAGTGATTACATCTGGAGCAAAAGACTTGGACACGTGAGTGGAAACACTCAGTACTTTGATATAACACTGTAGTGACGAAGGACGTTTTATGACAAAATGTTGGTAGTAAACTCTGTTATCCCTCTCCAGAATCTTACCACAAGAGCGCACAGGGAGGTGCTCCCCTCTCCAATCCCCTGTCACTCATTTCATCTCTACCCAACCCAGCAATGTGGGAACCAGAGCCTGAGGCCAGAGATTTGCCATTATTCTGGAGGCACCCTAATTGGGGTGATGTACCTAGAAGTGGAGATTCAGTTTCCCTCAGGAAATACTGTACTTGATCGTTGAGGTATTTCTAGAGAAGTCCTCACATGTGGCATAAGCACTTGAAGTCAGCATTACTCTGAACCTAGCTCTGGAGTAATGATAACTTAATGATAACTCGTTGCCATTAAACATTTATACACTTTCCTAAGGGATTCTTGGGCCTAAAAGTAGGTCTTGTCAAGGGACAAGAAAAGGTAGCAGAGTCATAAGTAAGTTGAAGCTGTTATTAGATAACGTGAGTCCAATTTTATCCCTTGCATCTATTTGTATAATTTATTTAAATTGAGGAAAGGGTGATTCTAATAGCTGTTGTTTATTGAGTCTATGTTATAGCCAGGTATTGAGCTACGCCTAATACTGACTTATGGATGTAAAGTGTTTCATCTCAGTTTGGTTCAAAACCATATAAGATAGGAATTATTCAGTGAAGAAGCTTACCACTTTACCAAATCTGTAATTAATTTTTTTTGTTTTTGCTTTCAGAAACCATGAATACAGTCAACAAAACAAAAAAGTCATTCAAGTTCTTTTGACAATATCAGGAAATCATCAACAATAATGACAACAATGAAACCAGCATTAATAACAATATACATCACACAGACTATCTTACTCAATACTTAAAAAAATTAAAAGGTAAGTGTCAGCAGTTCTCAAAGTGTGGTTCGAGAATCCTGGGGGCCTCTGACATTCAGAGTTTGCTAGGATTTCCTTTTCCAACTATCTTTAAAACAGCATTTTCTTTCTTTTTTTTTTTTTGAAAGATTTTTTTGCTATAGGGCCCATGTGCTTGCCAGAAAGACAGAGACAGAGAGACAGAAAACGAGAAATC